ACACCAGGTCAGGTCACAGAGGTCAGGTCACTGGGGGGTCACAATATGAAAGTGTTGTGTGATACATGTTTTATGGTCAATTTTACATGACAAATGCGATTATGTGGGTTAGACAGACTTTAGGGCCAGCTTAGGTCACGTTTTGGTCAAGGTCAGGTCAAGGTCAGGTCAAGGTCAGGTCAAATTAGGTCAAATTTCAAAGTCGATATTTTGCATAAAATGGGTATCGATTCGATGCAGCTCGTCACGGGGAGTTCAATGGTGGTCTCCGTTTTGCGTTACGAGGTCTAGAATTGCTAAAAATTGAGTTTAAAAATTTGACGTCATCAATTTTTAACAGTTTTTTCGCTATAACTTGGCCAAAAAAAGAGGTATCGATCTAAAATTTGGTATGTATATCGAAGAGCGCAGGGACTATCACATATATTCCGGTTTTTTTCGAAATTCGAAAATTTTTTGGAAATTTTTTGAGTTTTTCTAAAAAAAATCATTTTTTTGATTTTTGGGGGTCAAAATCCCAAAATTTCGAAAATCCGAGATAGCAGTTTTGTAGCGCCGTCTTTTGTCTACACAACCACATAAAGAACTTTAAAATTGCTTGTTAACTGTAGAATTGGTGAGCGTTTCAAGATGTCATGTTTTTTGCTCATTTTTACTCGAACATGACCTCAGTTTGACCTCAATAACTCCTGACCTGAGGTGACCTGTGACTTGAAATTTTGTGTGAAGGTGTCAAATTGATGTCCGGTAAGGTACCCAAAATTTGGCGGCGCGCAGCGCCGCCGTTTTCTCGCTATTTAAGAAAAACCACAGGGGGGGGCCAAAATGCCCCCCCATCAGGGCGCGGGTTAATATGGGGAAACCCATAGACTTATTAGCGACCCTCCCTGGTCGCTAATCGGGAAGAGTTCCCTATTAGCGTTTTTTGCAATGGTTTGCTAAAATGCTCACTACAAACAATTTAGTGAATATTGGGGCAGAAAATGACTATATTTTAATCGAAAAATGAACGACCTCTCCGAAAATCAAGCCAGTAATACAGTGGCACCCACAGATCGTGAGCAATGACGGTTCAAATTAAGGGGGTCGCTAATTAGGCACCTTACCCTAGTCAGATAGCCATTATGCTCCATTAGATGAACTAGCTTATCAGTAGGTACAGGCTCGAAGTGCAATTACGCAAAAAGATGAAAACGGTTCGACTCTTTGAAGTAAGAGCATTTGTTGTTTGAAACATTTTAGCATTGGTCACGTCAGTGGTCAGTAAGATGCGAATCAGGAAGAGATGACACCATGTCAAATGTGATGTGCTGATGCCGAATGCCGATAGTCAACGCACCTGCCTCCTCCCCTCCCCCTCCCCCGCAATAATACGTCGGACTTTACGACAGTGCACACTGCCGGTATGATTCAAGTTAAACACGGATGAGGCTGGATCCGGCTCCAATTTGACGCTCCGCACTGGATATTGATCAGCACTGGTCTGCACTGTCCGGCTCTGCCCTTCGACTCTCCTTCCACTCATCTCTGGACGACGCTGGACGGCGCGGCTTCAGGAAGTATCTACAGGCTTCAGTCAAACACTGACGTGGCTTTGCATGCAGCTCGGAAGGATACGGTTTCAGGTGGCTCCATGAAGCACAGAGACGACACGACTCCACACGGCTCCAAGGACATGGAACGACATCACACAATTGGACGACACGGGATGGCTCCACAGTCAACACAAACACGGCACGGCTCTACTACACACAATAGGTTTAGTCATAATAGGTTTAGCACAGACACACACGGTCATAATACAGCAAACAACACACACGGATCCACACGGCCACACAAACACACGCGGTCACAGCACGGCTCCAGACGGCTACACGCAGAAACGACACGGCTCCTCAGTCCTCACGACATCGGCGCAGCACAGCCACGGCACTGCACGGCTCCCACAGCTCGCCTCGACGGCTCCCACAGCTCGCGGCTTACACGGCTCCTCCGCAGACGCGGCACGTCCGTATACGTGCACCGTCGGGCGCCGTTCCTCCGACCGTTCCGTTCAATGGCACCGTCCGGCTGGCGGGAACGACCGACACGGTCCGGTATGGCTTCCCGGCATTGCCGGTCGGGTCAGCTCCGGTTAACACGACTGCCCGCTCGCAGCCGGGCGGCCAGAGACGAGTGCCAATTAAACCGACTGACAGTGGCGGCGGAAGGTAATTTTGGATGGGGGTGCAAAGTTTTCTCAAGGGGCCCCTCTGGAAGTTTTGGGCCCCCTTCAGTTTTTTTTTTAGTGATTCTTATTGACTATTTATGAAAAACGAAGAGTTTGGAAAACTCTCCCCATACACACAAGTTCTGTAAAAGGTTTGAAATTGCAGTGTACCTACCTACCTGTCTCAAATAATGAAAGCAAAAAGAAGCAAATGCAGCTAGTTTTTATCGGCTAATCTTTTAGTCTAGCCACCACCCACAGCGTCTCAAACCACTTTTTCTGGATCCGCAGTGGACCATTGAGGGCCCTACGAGACCGTTCCAAGAAGACCGTGTTTAGAAGCCCCTTGGAAACCGACCACATAGAGACTCCTCCAGAAAACTGCATGACTCCCCAGACTGAATGAGCCCTCCGATCAGGGTCAGTCCCTTGAAAGTTGCTGAAAGGTTTCAGAAGGCAGTATAGGCTCGAAAGTCTTTTGAGGGCTCTCAGAAACCGGCATCGGACCCCAAAAAAGCCTGTATATGGAGGCCCTCCAAAGCCGGGATGGAGGCCACAGGAGCCGATGTTTAGCCTAAAGAGCTGGTATGGAGGACTGAATAGAGGAAAGGGGTCTCAGTGGGGCCCCAGGAGCTCGCGTGTGAGCCCTAACCTAATATTCGGCTGGCAGCTACTAGAACCAGCATGGGGATTCTTAGAAGCCGCTTAGACCCACATTTCATGGCTCATGAGTCCCAAGAGTCGATGCAGGGGCCATAAAAGCCGGTGTAGGGCCCATGGCCCCATAAGTTCTGACATTGAGACTCTCAGAGGTCGGCGACGGGGCACCAAGAGCAGATAAAGTGCCTCAACAAGCCGACATGGGGCCTGAGAATCAGTGTGGAATTCCAGGAGCCTGCGTGAGCTCTCGGAGGCCTTCGTATTTCGTAAGGTCCACAAAGGTCGATGGATCATCTGAATCTGAACTCTGCGGGGCCCTCAGAAGCCAGCATGTCTCCTGGCACCTGCCTGCGTTGAGTTGAGACCCTCGGAGGCCGTCGTAGGGTTCTTCAGAGGCCAGCGTTTGCCCTTGAAACCTTCGTTAGGCCCTAGAAGCCGTCAAGAGGGCCCTCAGAGGTCAGCATGGCCCCTGGAGCCTGCCTCCGTCGAGGCCCTCAGAGGCCGTCGTGGGGCCCTCAGACGCCAGGCAGTGTGGGCCTTTGGAGCTTGCGCTGGGTCTTAGAGACCATCGTGAGGGCCCAGAGAGGTCGTCGTCAGAGCCCTCAGCCCCTCAGGGACCGTCCTGGGGTTCTCAGAAGTTGTTGTGAGGGCCTTTAGATGCCTTTGAGAGGATCACCAGAGGTCGTCATGAGGGTCCTTGGCCATATTGAGGGTCTTAATGGGTCGTCTGAAGCCAAATGGGCCGTCAGACTTGATTTGGGTCTAGGGCCGTCACAAGGGCCCTCAGAGACCGTCGTAGAGGCCCTCAGAGGCCAGTGGGGCCCCTGGAGTCCTGTAGGACCCTCAGCGGTCGTCCTGAGGGCCCTTAGTGGTCGTTATAGGGCCCCAGGGGACAGAGTTCGTCGTGAGAGCCCTCAGAGATCATCGTAAGGGCCCTCAGAGGCCGTCATAGGGGCCCTCAGAGGCCAGCGTGGCCGCTGGAGTCTCCTTGGGGCCCTGGAGTCTCTGTGGGACCCTCAGCGGTCGTCATGAGGGCCTTTAGTGACCGTTATAGGGCCCCAGGGGACAAAGCCCTCAAGTGGGAGCCCTCAGAGATCGTCATAAAAGGGCCCTCTGAGGCCATCGTGGGGCCCTCAGATACCGCGTGGAGCACCAAACGCGGCTCGGGACACTTCTAGCCGGTGTGGGGGCCCCAAAGACTAGCATGGGGCGTTCCTGACCATAATTGGACATCCCGGATGATTCCACATCAGTGTTCGTTTCCCGATCACTGGTTTTCAGGAGAAATGTATTGGATGGTGCGACGGGCCCCTTGAACGGATTTTGGGGGTGCAAAAAGATATTTTTGCACCTCCATGTTTTTCGATGGGGGTGCAGCTGCACCCCCTGCACCCCCTATTCCGCCGCCACTGCCGACTGAGGCGGACGCTCCGCTGCGCTTCAGTTCGCACCCTCACAACGCCGACTCTGACCGTGCGAGATAATTGATAAATTGAGCCAGGCGAGGCTTGAAATATTGGTGTAATTAGCACTGCTTTCAGTGAATGCCAGACGAGATTGGAGGACGTTAAATAAAATATGCATGCAACTGCGTCTCTGCTTGCTGGTCTGAAACCTCAACGCTGCTAGAAGGAAAGGTCGTGTCTCATGACAACCACCCGATTTCGGTTTGGATGAATATCTAGTGTTTCCGGCATTTTGCCATCGTGAGCAATATCCCATTTCATATGCTAAGTGCACAACATTTAATGGCGCTGCATACTTCACGACAGCTAAGCGCCACTTATGTAAGTACCGAGCTCGAGTTACGCCGCTAAGCCCGCCAGTAATCTCGGCACATTGAACACTAAGCCCACGCTAATCCGGTACATTGGCGGCTAAGCCTACATTGTCGGCCGGCTCTTACAGTCCGCAAGCCACAGGTGCTATACGACCAATAGACACCAGTTGCGCCGGCCATAGCTCAGGGACGAGACGGCTACCGTTCGGATCCTCCCGACCCGCCGGCCGACTGGATCTAATTCAGTTGACTAGCTCCTACAGGTGTGCGATCGCTGGACATGGTACACAGCGGTTCAGCCAGTAACACCTATGGCTCCCACAGCACCCCTTTCAGAGGGTTTCAGCTCACCTGGTCAGCGTCTCCAGCAGTTGGCATCGACCGCTCGGCACGCCGCTCGGAGCACGGGACGACGCACCGCGACTGGAGCGACGCGACGGACCGGCAACGGCACCGACGAGCGCGGCGCCATCTCGGGACGGCGACGCGCAGCCGCCGCCCGCTCCGGCGACCGGTGTACCGGTGACAACACCGGTGCCGGCTACCTTCCTGAAGGGGGTCGGGCGAGGACTTTGGACCGGGAAGACTCACAGGGAGGGTGTTCGGTGGACCGAATGGGATGGAGCAGCGTAAGGCGTCGGAACGGGAAACTTTGTTTTATTACAGCGACGTCAGGACAAACACTCGACAAGTTGGTGAGCTGAGATGTAGGGGAAAGTGGGTGTATTGCGCCCTCCTAACCAATTGCGCCCACCCACATTCCCACGAATTCAATGGCATGTTCAGCATAATGTTTTCGAAAACATTATTTTCGCCACTGGATAGTTCCTTTTATGGCCCAAGCTCTCCGATGAAGCCAACCAGCAAGGCTCATTACGCCATCGAAGATATTACGGCGTTTTCTTAACTTTTTTGCAGCATTTTGAACCGTTGGCTATAAAAATAGGCGATACATGTGTCATTTTGAGAGTGATATTTGGAAAGAAAAATCCTTTTTTCATTATATTTCACTGAAACAGTAAACATCCTTCAGCATCTTTATGGTAACTTCTACGCTTTTATTAAAAAGTACCTCAATTTTAATTGCGCCCATGGCAAATGCGCCAGGGGGGCGCAAATAGAATAATGGTGTAGCTATTGTATCACGACAGTATGAATGCATCATTAACTGATTGCAATAAAGAAGGAGTTTTATGTCACGCAGGGGAGCAACCCGCCATCGTCAGTCCAAAAATTATTTCTCTCATCGAACTTATAATGTAGCTGCCATTTGGGCTATGAGCCTGCCCGGTGTAATTGACAAAATACGGCATTTTTAACATGGACACAGGCGTGAGAGGTGACAGCCATGATACAAAGTAAAAACTGATGTCAAAAAAGTTGTAGAAGCAATAAAAAATATTAATTTTGAGAGAAACGACTGAAAATATAACCGTCTAGGCGCATACGTTCATATATATCTAGTCGGTTACATCAAACGTTTTCGTTCCACTTCACAAGCATACTGGACACAAGTAAAGTTATTTACCTGCGCAAAAAACATCGCAATTTATATCTACATTTATTATGTATCGAGCTTGATTCACATAATACATGTTCAAGTAAGCCACAATGACATAGAATGCCGGAGTGTATGCATTCCGTCTCCTTTGCTTAGCCATGTTAAAGGATAGGGCGCAATTGGATTCTAATTGCGCCATCCCCGTGGCGCAATTTACAGCAGTTGTTGGTAAATGCGCCCTTTTGCATGTTTCTGAAAAAGCAGCTGTCAGAAGCAAACGAAACATTCTTAATTGATCGGGAGGCTCTTAAATCGTAGCCAATGAGTTCCTCTTTAAAATGGTTACCAGTGCATGCTTACATCTCCAGTGGTTTTCTTACAATTAGCGTTTTTTCCTTAAGGTGGCGCAATTCACCCTCCTTCCCCTAAACTTGCGCAATGTTCCCTCCATTTCGTAAAACAAATAGACATCGATCCATGCAAAGGTGCATCCTGGGACATCAGGTCCCTACTCCCTATCCAATTATTCGTGTAGTTGCAAGGGCGCACACAAGGGGGGGCACACGGGCCCGTGCCCCCCCCATTCGAGTTGGGGGGCCCAACTCGAAGGAAGGGGCCCATTTGAGGCGGCCGAAGGCCGCCTCAAATGGGCCTCTAACTAATCCTTAGACCACCGAAGACCGCGTACAAAGGGCCCTCAAATGGCCTTAAAGGGCCCTCAGATGGTCTCAAAAGGCCCTCAGATCGCCTCGAAGGGCCCTCAGTTAGCGTCATAGGACCCTCATCTGGTGTCAAAGGGCCCTTAGATGGTGTCAAAGGGCCCTCAGATGGCCTTAAGGAGCCCTCAGATGACCTCAAAGGACTCTCAGATGGCCTTAAAGGGCCCTCAGATAGCCTCAAAGGGCCCTCAGCTAACGTCAAACGGACGTCAGAAGGCCTTAAAGGGTGTCAAAGGTCCCTGAGCTGGCGTCAGAGGGCCATGCCCTTGCGTCGAACGGCTCTCCGAAGGCTCTAAAGAGTCCTTTGCTGGTGACAGAGGGCCCCCAGCTGGTGCCAGATGGCCCCCAGCTGGCGCCAAATGGCCATCAGAAGGTCTCAAACGGTCCTCAGCTGGCGTCAAGCGGCCCTCAAAAAGCCTCAAGGGCCCTTAGAAAACCTCAAGGGGCCCTTAGAAGACCTCAAGGGCCCTCAGAAGGCCTTAAAGAGCGTCAAAGGGCCTTGAGCTAGCGTCAGAGGGCCCCCCAGCTAATGCCAGAGGGCCCTGAGCTAGCGTCAAACTTAAAGTGCCCTTAGCTGGTGTCAGAGGGCCCCAGTTGGTGTCAGAGGGTCATCCATTGGCGTCTAATGGCCATCAGAAGGCCCAAAAACACGATCCTCAGCTGGCGTCCAACGGTCCTCAGCTGACGTCAAGAGGCCCTCAAAAGGCCTCAGAGGCCCCTCGACTGCTCAAAGGGCCCTTAGAAGGCCTCAATGGGAACTCAAGAGACGTTAAACGGCCCTCAAAAGGCTTGAAAGGGTCCCTGCTGATGGCAAAGGGCTCGCACCTGAGTCAATAAGAGCCTTGTCAAAAACGGACCTGAGAAACCTTGCCGGCCCTTCTGCGGGACTCCTACACTTACCTTAGTGGCCCCCGTTTACTGAGGGGCCCTGGTTATTGATGGGGTTCCTCGTTACTTAACGCCTGGTTACCAGAGGGGCCCATGGTTACCTGGTGGGCCCCTGAACAATTGAAAACCCCTGGTCATCTGAAACGCCCCTGATTACCTAAAGGGCCCCTAATCACTTGGATTCAGTGACATAGCAAGGGAGCGAGGGGGTACGTGCCCGTTCTCGGGTTTAGGGTTCCTTCAAAACCGAGGGGCCCTGCGGCGCCAGTTGGTAGCAGAGGGTTCGCGCTGGCCGCACTTCAACTCGGAAGGACACCACAGGGCTTGTTGGGGCACGTTATTGGCTCCTATGTAGCCACAATTATCTTCATAAAGGCCCAATGCCGGTTTCTGAGAGACCTCGCCGGCCGCTCAGGGCCCTAGTAACGGCCAACGAGGGATTGGCTGCTATGGCTCCACATCCGTCTGTGATAGACACACGGTCCACACCAGTGTTTCTAAAGGCACCCACAACGGCAACTGCGAGGCCCCTCGCCCCACCTCCAAGGGACCCCCACCAGCGCATCTTAAGGGCCTACATCGGCGGCTCTGAGAGTCCCCACACCGACGCCTCTGAGGGCCACGTACCAGTGACTCTGAGGGCCTCTTACCAGCCTCCGAGTGTCCTTGCCAGCCTATGACGGGCCACTTTCCACTTGCAGGCCATTTTGCAGGGCCACACACATGCCAATGATGGCCCCACCAGTGTCTCTAAGCCCTAAGACCCCGCAACGGCGCCTGTGAGGACCCAACACCAGCGCATCTGACGGCCTTTCACTGGCACCTCTGAGCGCGCCACACACCGGTGACTCTGAGGAGCTTGCTCGCTTCGCTCGCTCGTAAAATACCATGTAAATTAGGCATTAGTGTACATTTGGCACACTCCTCGGACATAAATGATACTTTTGCTTGCCGATTTTCCACATTTTCTCATGCAAAGACCGTTTTAAAGAGACCCGTCTGCCAGTGAGACTGGACCCACCGTGCCTTCCTCCGCCCATCGAAAGGTCCTGGATACATCCTTGCCTGAGCTGACCCCGGGCCACCGGGTGACTCGCGGGCCCGGGGTCCGCGAAAAAAAAACATGCTAAAAAAACATGCTAGCGTAAAAATATATATGTTTTGAAAATTAAGCTGGTACCGAAATAATTGTTTTACCTACTATGCATTGACAAACCAATTGCTAAAGCTTCAAACCAACCGAAATATAGCCCCGTGGGCCGTATATTTTTTTTTGGGGGGGGGGCCTTCGGCATGGGGGGCCCAGTTCGAAGGTCGTGCCCCCCCATTCAAAAATCCTGTGTGCGCGCCTGTGTAGTTGATGATGATGATGATGATGATATTTATTGAACAGAAAGTACTGGAACCGAGTCTCCCGTCTGGAACCGAGTAGTTCGTCCGAGTCTCCCGGCGAACTGAAAAGCTACCTTCCTTTGATGCTTACGGTATGCACATCGCATCGTTTGAGTTCTGAGCCCGCGGTTTCAATAATATTTTATGTGCATGCTGTTGGAACGGAGTCTACATATTCCCATCTCAGTCTTTACTGTGCTCCTATTCGCTTGCGATGTAGGCGTTCGTTGGTTGTTTTTCTCGAAATCTGCAAATGGAAGGAAGAAAAGAAGAGAGAGAGAGAGAGAGAGAGAGAGAGAGAGAGAGAGAGAGAGAGAGAGAGAGAGAGAGAGAGAGAGAGAGAGAGAGAGAGAGAGAGAGAGAGGCGGACAGACAGGCAGACAGACGCACACACCGACGCCTGGCACTTGACGGACAGGCAGGAAAGTAGACTCGCGAGAACTTGTCATTCTGGGTCAGGTACCTAATAATAAACGCTCGACATATGACAACTCTGACATTTATTCATAGTGCTGATGTATGAGACCAATCCTATACACTATGACGATGGTTTCCTCAGCCAGCTTGGCGTTAGCGCTTAGTAAAGGGGCAAGGTCAGTGGAAAGGTTGGCCAAACTGCCTTGTAACTGTCTCAGTGAAGGGTCGAGGTCAGTAGGTCGGCCGAAGTGCACGGCAGCAGGAGAGGGCAAGGTCAGTGAAAAGGTTGGCTCGTAGCGGGAAGGGGCGAGGTCGTGGGAAGATCGGCCGAACTGCGCTGAGGCGGGAGAGGGTGAGATCAGTAAAAGGTCGGTTGAAATGCCCTGCAGCGGGAAGGGGCGAGGTCAATGGACAAGTCGGCCGATTGCCATGGAGTCATGGTCTCAGGTCAGTGGAAAGGTCGCTCAAACTGCCCGACAGCGCTGGATGCGGCTCGTTCGGTCGATGGCACCGGCCTTCGGAACGGCCGCTGAACCGGACGATTAGCAGGCGGTTCCGACCGACGCGACTGGTTGCACGACTCATGGAGCGAGCCGGGGTCGAGAGGAACGCAATATCACCTCCTCCGAAATGTATACCTACGGCATTTTCTGCTCTAGCTGCTGCGTCGCATTAAAAAAATTTTGCTAAAGATGACCATATTACCAGTTGCAGAATTTGAAGCTTGTTATGTAAACTGAAGCCTTTCTAACTATAACTTTGCAAAAAAGTTAATGCAGGTGTCATATTCAGCTTACGCCGCGTGCTTCAAAGTCTGCAGTCAAAAGGTGAGACCATTTTACTCTTTGCAGTGTGGCCCCTGTGGCTGTGACCCTGTGTAGTGTGTACTGCAGTGTTGTTTGAAGTAACTCTTTGAACCCGAGACATGGAACATTGACCTCGTGTGATGTGACGGTGAAGCGCTTAGTATATACATAGTGTGACCCAGTGACCCCGGTCCCCGAGTGATGTAACACTCTGACCCCGCGTTCACCTCCTACTCCACCGCCGGCTGGTCGGCTCACGGATGTCGGTTTTATGACACCTGTTTGCGCCCCCAACTCGGTAGCAAGTTTTATCCCAGCTTGGCATCCCAGAGTTATGAAGAGTAATAGACTAGAGCAATGAAGAGTTCCAGTGAGAGTTATGCGGGAGAGTAAAGGGGAGTAGTTCCCTGGAGTTTTAGGGAGTCATTTTTGGTAACTCTCGATAGCTCTCCCAAAGGGAGTAAATATTTCTCTCAGTGCGGTGCACCCAGAGCTCACAGCTCACAAATCACAGATCACACGGCTCCCCTGTGCCCATAGCTCAAATCAGGCAGTCTCTCCGTAACCCAGGTCACATTATGTGTGTTACATTCAATACGCGAAATCCGTCCACAGTTCCTTCGTAACCCACAGCTCGCACAGCTCACATTTGACATGACCCACAGCTCAGAGCTCTCACCCTGTGGTCGCCGTCTCTAAAGGGTACCAGTCACCGGGAGGCACCACCGCGACACGGGCTCGTTAATTTGCCCTTTCAACGACCCGCCGCTGCCTCCGAGTGATGAACGATGGCCAGTTTTTGGAACCATTTAACCCGACCCACTTCCCCGGCCGGCAGGCCATTTTGCACGGAGTTCGTTAGACAGAACGCTGGTGCCGCTGACAAATGCCTTTGGAAGTTTGCTTTTGTGCCTAACTTGGCCAAAATAGAACAAAAGGTAAAACTTCCGTAGTTGTATCGCTTTCCGAAAGTTGGTAGCTGGAATAAGGCGACGATCATCGATCCGCTTGTAACGACATTCACAATAACGCGCATGTTACTAAATGTGCGTCATGGCTAAACGTTCAACCGAATAAATCGGCTCCGATGTTTCTTTCGAATGTAATTGGCATTCGTTGTGTCGATGTTCGATAGCCACTTGCCAAATCGATGGTTGCGGCCTGCGGGAAATGCACCAACCGCATACTAAACGTATCCACGCACCAAAACCAGGTTTCTTTTTTTTAGTTAAGTACTTGGGCAGACTTCCAAAGAGCCATTGTTCTTCCGATCTTGTACAGTTAACGACGGCGTGGGCTACAGTGCAGTCGTTGACCACGAAATGTTTGTCCTTTTGTATAAACCATTTCTTTGAATCAGGGACCATGCGACAACGCACGCACTGCGTCTGATTCGGTCAATTACCGGTCGCATGATTACTCCCTACCCCTGCCCTTCCAATTAGCTCGGGCTAATCAGTTCTATGGACCTTCCTGTATGGCCGCTGCTGCGATATTTCCGTGGCTAGTGAGATAAGATAAAACGCGTTCTGAGAAATGTTGCATATGGTTCCCCTTTAACTCCCTTATCAACGTTAATTATTTCTAGTCGAGTTTTACTGAAGGGCTCAAAGCTGGTCAGTGATTTCCCAAGTTGTTGGTATACCATTTACTTATTCTTGCCGATTTTCGTCCATTTGCCAGAGCTCCAAATGATACTGAAGTGTTCCCTCATGCCATCGACGTTGAGGTCCATGATGTCCACCAAAAGGAAATGAGAACGGTCACTGCGGGATATTAGAGTCAGCCTGTGATAAAACGGAGCTGTTTCGGATTCTATCGACCAAGCATAGATCACAGTACTCGGACATTTTCATCTGAAAGAATCGCAACGAGATCAATGACGCCTCATCTGGCTCGTAACACCGTTTAAGCAGCTAAGTACTGGCGGGCTGTCCGTAATGGCGCACTGTGTTTCGGTGCCATGTTGAGTTAGAATGCTTTTATATCGTTGCATGATTACTCTAAAACAATTCAGCCTGTGGACACGTAACTTCTATGGCGGCATGTATGAATAATTATGGTCTTCAACGGTACCTGGCGGCGTATTCAGCAGCGTCCTTTTCCGTCTTGTCACGTCTACATTTGAGAGCCACCCATTGTGTTGAACTTTTAGTACGTGTTCTTGTCCCTTCCCGTTCCTCTCGATTCTCCTCACAACTCAGCCGACACGCCAGGACCATGACTGATTGGGCTGTATTATTCATCTGGCCACGCCCGGCGTATAACACGTGTCGGCGCGTCTCGCTCTGTGGCTGACAGCCGGTCGCAGCCAACAAACTAGCACGAACAACGCGGCACTCGAAACGCGTCCGCTCTCTCTCGCTCGCTCGCCGCGCCGCCAGGGTAGTCGGGGCGGCGCGGGCGGCGGTGTGGGTTGGCCTGCTCCCTGGGGGAGCGGCTGGGGTACCCGGTCGGCCGGTACTCGGTCTCAGGGTGGGGATACCGCCCACCCCAGCCGGCCACGGACACAGGGTCAGGCGTGCTTGGAATCCATCGCAGGCCGAGAAAACGCTCCGCCGCATACGAGACGCTCCAACTGAACAATCCCTGTGGACCACACATCTGCAGTCTCTGGGTTAAATTTCTGGCGCTATCTCATAGCGTTTTCAGAGGTCGACGGGTGGAGTTTAGCACCACTGCACCTGTGCCCCGGGTCACGGGCCGGGGGAGGGACACCCCCTGCTGTGATCTGACAAGTCTCCTTCGGTTAACGGTCACGTATTGGTACGGCAGCCTCGCTGCGGCTGCAAAAGCGCAGTTTTCGTGGTTCGGCCACATGTCCTAGACTATATCTTGAAGCGAGTCAATTCATAAGAACTGCGATAGGGATAGAGCAAAGAAGACGATACAGAACAATCAGAAGCGCACGACGCAACAGTCACAAGGTACAAACTTGCCGGAGTCGCGAGAGTAAAACGGCACGCCTCTTACAGAGCTCTCGAGCGTTACGGCATGTTACGACTGCTCCCGCAACTTAACAGCAAGACTGGCGTCCTCTTGACTAAAACGAAACACGCAAAGCTGGCCAGGAGTAAGCGGAGCGAATCACGTCTGTTGGCGGCCAGCGCCGCCCCTGGTGCTGGTGTCAGTCCTACAGGAGTGGCACCAGCACCACAGGCCGGCGCCGGCCGCCCAATCTCTCAGCTGAGTAGCTGGTTGGGGCAGCGTCCGGGCCGGCCCCTGCCCTTAGCGACGGCGGGCGGCTCTACTTGGCGTGGTCCCCGTCATCCGAGGGGAACCCCTGCGGCCAGCCGGAGTCTGCGGCGGCGGCACCCGGCGCCCACGGACTGCTGACGGGCGGACAGAAGGGCCGCGCCGGGTCGGCCGGCCAGGCGGACCCAGTGACGCCCAGGTCGGCGCCGCCCCACAGCGAGGCGGCGGGCGGCGCCGGCGTGGGCTCCCAGAGTGAGCCGGTGCCGCCGAAAGGACAACTGCTGCCGAACCCGGGCCACTCGTCCATGGCGCCTGACAAAGGACGGGGTGGGGCGTCAGGACGCTGACAGAGAAACACATTCGCAACAAGCGACGGCGGGTGGCACTACACATTACAAAAACATACATTGATGCATATTACCGTCCGGCAAAGAAACACACAGCCCATAAAGTACCGTGTCTGTGTCAGGAAGTTAGGCATTAGAACTTGCAGTGGCGAACACACCGTTGTCATCAGTGATGTAATAATCGAATAATTAGTTTCAGATACAAACCCTACATCAGCAAAAACGACCCGCCCGCCGCCTGACTCACCAGTCGCCTGGCGCTGCGGCTGGTCGTACTGTTGTGTCTGCATTCGCCGGTCTGCCTGGAGTCCCTGCATGAAGGTCGGGTGCGCCGGCTGGGGCGGGGGCACGTGCGCGGCCTGTGGCGGCGTCGACCACACTGACGACAGCTTTAGCATGGTGGAGGCTGACTGTGCCAGCGAGTGGAGGCCGAAGCTGGATGGCTCCTCGGCCGGCGGCATCGGCTGGGGAAGGCGATGGGAGGTTACAGACATCGCAGCGGCAAGGGCGGATGATGGACAGACATGAGACACACTGTAAAGACAGGGTGTTAAATGACTAACCGAACGCAATGTAAACATCCCAAGCAAAGAAACAGCCTTCCGGTGTTAACTGTCACAAGCCTCTGGTTTCACCGAAAACATTGCTCACATGCCAGTGCCACACCTGACAGCCATCCCACCAAACCCCACCTGCCCAGCCTACCCGGCCAAATCCTACCTAGCCCGCGGATCTCGGCAATCTCTCTCGTCCCGTTCCCTCACCTTGACTGGCGTGGTCGGCAGCAGCGGGCTGGTCGCTACGGCCGGCGAGCAGAGGTCCCCATCGGTGGCCCACACGGTCGAGAGACCGCCCAGCGGAGGCGACGCCTGGCGGTGGCGCGGCCCGATCGGACCCAGGCCGGCCGCCGGACGCTGCACCTCCGGGGCGATCTTTCCGACCGGCGGCGCGCGAGCCCGCGGACGGTCACCGCTCTGACCTGTGGGGGTGGAGAGGGGTAGGTCAGAAGAGGCACAAAGATAAGCAGCGCAAGCCAGGAAAGAACATAGCATGGTCCAGCCCTCGAAAGCAAGACCGACTTAACAAACGGTTGCAGCAGACTACAATGTATCTATTGACAGGCCGTAGAGTGTGGACAGGCCTGACGACTTGACTTGATTTGACAAACATTCTGCAAACTTGTTTACGACTATTGATCGCTTCCACTCACTTTTTTCTCACAGAATGACAAAACAATAACGGCGTCATTACCTGTGCTAAAAAATGTTTAGCTCTCCTATTTTCCCTCATCCAATATCAAACTCTCCCAACCCCAGATAAGCATTAGATATGAACACACTGCCCGGCATGCATCCTGCCCCCTCTTTCTGTCTCCTCCATCGTGCCCCACCTGAGACGATGCTGGCGAACGACGACCGCGCCGGCAGACCGGCACCGCTGCGCGCGAAGCTCTCTGTCTGCTGCGAGAGCAGGCCGAATGCGTCGTCTGGCGCCGCACCGGATGGTGCATCCCAGACGGGCGGGGCGCTCTCGGAGGAGACAGAAGAGCTCGGTGACACCGTGCCACCCACCGACGGAGCTATCGTCGCTGGAAAGGAGGGGAGGAAGAGATTGGTCACGGGGTATAAACTCATACAGACACCGTGGATGATGAACCAGCCTTAGCGGATTTTACTACAGATCTACTAAGCTACTTATATTTGAATGAATGAAGGCTTAAAGACTTTCTGCATTCAGGAAATCGCATGCGAAAGCCTATTCAAATACATTACAATTCTTCCCGCATCAACCGCATGCGGGAGGGGCGTGCGATAGATGCGAGCGTGAGCTAATGTAATTGAGTAGGCTCTCGCATGCGATTTCCTGACTGCGGAATGAGTCTGCTTTAGGCTTAAGACAAACACGTAATGCATTTTGTGCAGCATGAATTATTTCAAATAAACAAACCTATCGCGTTTCCGAAAAAAATATCAACCATGGAGAATCACGCGAAAACACTGCTACCTCACAACGGAAATTTTTCTTCCCCAGTTACGGCTTTGACAGAGCTTCAAATTACTCAAAACTCACCCTTGGCGCGTTGTTTCCTCTTGTCCTTGCGGTCGTCGACCGTTTTGGGTTTGTAGGGCAACTCCAGGGAGCCCAGGTTGGGCAGACTAGTGGTGGTCTTGGCCTTGACTTTTTTGTTGACTGACTGTTTTGACTTGGCGCTGGTGTCTGACTTGGTCTCAGCAGTGCTCTCTGACTTTTCAGATGACTTGATATTGCCTGAACCCGACTTGTGCAGTTTATTATTGCTTTTATCCCGGTCTGCTTTCGAATTTTTCTCCTGAAAAAAAGCAGAGTATGTTTTAGCGATTGAGAAAACCGTTGAGCTTACTATTGTGAAAAGGGGAAATGAGACTTGCGCTGATCTGAATTGCACTATCGTCGAGCTGAGAAATTTCACTTAACGGTTCTTACAGAAATAACGACGAAAAATGGATAAATGACTTTTGTGAATAACTAAACCAACATCAATACCGACCGACCAGCGAGGCGCTACCATATTCGGTCAGCGAGGCGCTACCATCGGTCAGCGAGGCGCTACCATAGGTCAGCGAGGCGCTACCATCGGTCAGCGAGGCGTTACCATCGACCACCCAGGCGTTACCACTCACCTTTTCGCTGACGTCCTCCGTATGCGAGTGGTCCGTCGTCGATGAGGACGTGCAGCTCTCGTCGTCGTCGACGTCTCGTCTGTCCGTCTGCTGTCCGCTGTCGGTCGACTTCCTCGGCGCCGGCGCCGAGTTGTGCGCCGCCGCACTCACGTCCTCTATCACAGCGGACGGCTCGGAGCCAGAGTTCATACCCAGCGTCTCCAGGAAGGTGCTAGCCCAGCTGCGGTTGCTCTTGGCTTCCTTCTTCGCCTTGCGCCGGCGCCGCACAGTCTCTGATTCGTCCTTCTCGGCAGCGGTGGGCCGCTCCGGTTTGGCTCGTTTGGGTGGCTCGGGCTGCTCGCGCCGGCCGCGCGGCGCCGGCGGAGTGACCGGTTTGGCCGCCGTTGCCGGTGGTGACGCCGACTCGGCTGTGGCCCGTGGAGACTTCCTCCCAGCAGCTGTGGCTGCGGGTGATGGTTCCTCTTGTGCCGTGCCATCTGCTACCCTCCGTAGGTCAAACACACGGGGCTGCTGCTGGTACGCCCGAGCTACCGCACCCGCCGGCGGCGCGTGCAGGTCAAACGTGTCCTTCAGGATACGGTCCGACTCGAAAAACGCCGCCGTTAGGATGCTGAACAGCATGAAGATCATGAAGGTGACGGCCACGTAGTACAGTAGTGGCTCCCAGTCGGGTCGGGGTACGGCCCGCGAGCACAGCTCCAACATCTGCGGCGGCACGGTGGCGTGAAGAGAGTACACCAGCGGCTGGCCGGCCGGCTGTAGACTCGTGTGCAGCTCCAGCTTCCTCCTCACCACAGTGGTCGTGAAGTCGGGTGTGAAGGCCACCTCCACCTTGCGGCTCGAGTTGGGCTGCAGTTGAAACGGCGCGCAGTTGAGTACGCGGAACCCGAACCCCTCGCACGGCAGCCCGTTCACGGTGAAGTTGGAGATGGAGATGGCCACCTCTCCGACGTTACGCGTCGTGAAGGCACGCTTCACAGTGAAGTTGGGCAGCATGTGCTTGCTTGGCTTTCGAGAACCTGAAGACGAAGGGGAAAAAAACGTCAAGGACTCATTAACGTATACGAATAAGTAAACATCACTCATGGGTCAGAGAAGCAAGAAACATGAGCCAGTCAACGGTCAATTACCTACACGACACACACAAAGCCTTGTCTAGCAGTCGGAGTAAAATGTCCCACGGTATCACCAACAGGACCCACTGAGCTCCACTGGACCAGAACACACTAGAGTCTCTTTCCCGTCCTACCGGCCTCGTCAGAGCCGCACCCTCTAACGCCTCGAACAGACAGCAGCAGCCAACAGACCACTGCGGGACCCGCCACTGGAGTCTGCCCCAACTGCCCGTCACGGCCCCGACCACCAGCCGGTCTGACGTTACGGCCACCAAGCCCATCACAATACTCAAACTACCTCTATTCGACAGGCAAGCAGCAATGTTTGCGGCGTAATGGCTCCAGTGAATGCCAACCTACTTACTGACAAATAGACGAAAGTATGAGTCACTGGCGTAATGCAGTACATAATGTTGTTGGTTTAACCCGCGCGGGGCTGGGGTCTCCAGCCGAACGCGCGGGGCTGGGGGGGGGGGGGTAAATTTTACCCCCCCCCCTGTTATCTCCCGAACTAATGGTCCGATTTGGAAAATTCAAACGCCAATCGAAAGCTCTCATCACGAACTACTAAAAACATGTACTTAATTTAAAGTTTGAGGTCAAGGTCAAGGTCAGGTCAAGGGTACAAATTGCAAGTTTCTACAGTATCGGCCTTGCACCGTAGTTGCCGAAGAATGGAGTCATGGACTGAGACTGATCGCCCAAAACGTGTTCTTAGGCTACCAAGACAATATTCGTTGCATACAATATCATTCAGAGGTCAAGGTCAAGGTCAAGGTCAGGTCAGGTCAGGTCACCAAAAAACAAAATATAGAAAAGGGCATGTGCGACACATGTTTTATGGGTCATTTTACTCATAGAATTCAATAGGCACACTCAGTAAGTGATATGGACCACCTCTGGATGAAGTTCAGGTCGAGGTCAGGTCAAGGTCAGGTCAAGTGAGGTCAAATTTTGAAGTTGGTTGTTAAGGCCTAAAAAGGTGTCTATCTGATGCAGTTTTTCACGGCGAATCGAATGGTGCTATTTTTGTTGCCGTACGAGGTCTAGAACTTCCAAAAAAGTCATTTTTCAAAAAATTTGTGTGTCGTGACGTCATAAAATTTTGAATAACTCCCACATTTTTGAACCGATTCTTCTAAAATTTGGTATGTAGGTGCACATAGACCACTTCTCTGACATATATTCCGGTTTTTTCGATAGACTCAAAATTTTGGATTTTATAATGATTTTCCCAAAAAAATCAGTTTTTTGAAAAAATTTAGGCCAAAATCCAAAATTTTCAAAAAACCGAGATAGCCATTTGATAGACAAAGTAAAATTACGTATAACCTTTTTTGTTACGTCTTGATTCCTTTAAAAATGAAGATGTTAGCGGCGTTTGAACTTTTGCCGTTTTTGAGGCGAAAATGGCGAACATGACGTCACTAAAACGTCAATTTCTCAAAAATTTTCCGACGGATTTCGCTCAAATTTTCAGGGAACGTGTCAAATTGATGTAAGAAAAGGTATTGAAAGTTTGGCGGCGCTGCGCGCCGCCGTTTTTGAGATATCGCAAAAATTCGCGAGGGGGGGTAAAATTTACCCCCCCCCCCCAGCCCCGCGCGGGTTAAGGGAATTGGAGTTGAAATTCCTTTTAACGCCATCAGCATGGGGCAAAGTCAGACAGAGGAGTGCCAAGTGCTATGTTTGCAAACGAAAAGAACAAAAGTGGATGGCCAGATGGCTATAGGAAATCGATTGTTCAATTCATTTCGCTTGTTTGTTTTGTTTGGTCAATGTCATCTGAATGTCGTTTGCCGTGACGACAGACGACACGGTCGACCAGCCGCACGTGGAACGTGGACACATCATTGTCATAAACACGTGCCAGGTCGGGGGGGGGGGTGGCTGGCATAGAGATCTTATATACATGGTGGCTGGCACATTGCGAGTGCCTGACGAGTCCCTAGTGCCGTCAGTATGTGATGGTCCTGGGGGATGGAAGCCCTCCGGATATATTGCACCACAAACATAAATACATAAATGGCTGACGCGCAAATGCCGCAATAGAAGAGGCTTTATAAAATGTGTTGACCAAAGTGGGGATTCGGGATCCCGCTCAATAGCGTCCGTCCGAAGGATCCAAGTGAGACCAGCCAGCGCAAGCTCCATCCTCGACTATCTAGCGCGGCCCTTCTCCATCGATATCCAACTCACAATCCTTGAGGTGTTTTTCGACGAGCTCGAACAGCAGCGGACTGGAAGAGCCGGGCCGCTGGCTGCCGAACTGGAGCTGGCCGTAGGCACCGCGGCCCTGTACCACCAGCATGTCCAGCGCAGTCAGGTTGTTCCTGACGGGAACACAAACAGTGGTGTAAGAACACGCTAGCAGTCGGCTGATTAACGGCGGGTGGTCTGTCAGAATTGTTGCCCGACAAGCGAAAGAAACAAAGCCGTTGCGGGTAAGGGTTTCAGTATGTTTCTGTCCATTAACAATCCAGCACAACGCAAAAACAAAGAGATAAACTGAGATAGGACAATTACGAGTCCGATGTCATTACTTCAATAAGCAAACTCACCAACAAATGCCAATTGTTTCGTGGTTCGTTTGGCTTTCACCATCCACCGAGCCAACTAAGATCACCCAGCTAGGACCAGCCAACAAGCATCCCTGTCGCCGGAAGAGCTGTCACCGGCGCTCACCTGATGATGACTACATCCGACGCGGCGACGTCCTCTCTTGGCCCGAAGACGAGGGGTACTCGCACCCGTCCCCCAGGAGACACCAGAGCCGTGACCGTATTGTCGTGCGGCAGTGACGCGTGGGTCTGCAGCGAGGACGACCACTCGGGTCGGCCGGCCTCGAGCAGCGTGAAACTGGCGGCGGCCGGACCGCGCGACGGCCGCACCGCGCCGCTCGGCGCCTCACCCAGACTGGAAGGGTGAGAGAAAGGGGTCAGAGAGTGAGAAATTAATCTAAAACAAAACTAAATACATTGGTAATGTCAGCGCGATACAATATCGGACGAACCGTGCAAAAACTCCAAGAGCGCACGAAAACTCTGCCTATGCTCACTTCTCTCTCCCTCTCCCAATGGACGAACTGTCTTCCTAGCCGGCAGCCGGTAAACGAACGATCGAAAGCACGGACAACACCCAGTGGGACTCTCACAGACAGCAGGCGGATACTCACAGTTGCTGTATGATGTCCATAGTCGCCTGTGTCGCCGGGTAGTCGCTGAGTAGAGAGACGTGAACCGCCAGAGGCAGCTCGGACGGATTCTCTATCGTCAGGTCCCGTACCGTGACGTTCCCCACCTGAGGGAAAACACAGGGTCGGAACAGGATACGACACGGTGCGGCTGATGTCCGCGGAATCGAGGGACACGTTTCAGATTCAGTTGACATCAACTCGAAAGACGCAATAAACGCATTATGTTTGGCATACAAACATATGAGTAAGCAGATCAGGGCAGCTATCATGCCACTCTATTATTGACAGAAACCTTTCGCAGAAGTTACTACTCGTACCCCATTCCCCCCTCCATTCCCGATGCCCGTACAGACCACCTACAGTCATGGCCCACAGGTTCCCACTAGTCATTAATTGCCGTTCCGGCGCCCATCTCACCTGTGTGACGCCGAACCGGAGCCGGCGGCGGCCGATCAGCTGTGGCCAGCCGAGCTGCGCGCGGGCCCAAAACTGGTACCCGCGCACCTCACTGGTGTCCAGAGTGACGCTGATGTTGTGCCACTCGCCGCCGGAGCCGGAGCCGGAGCCGGAGCCGGAGCCGCCCGCCATCGCCCGGTACTTGTCGTACTGGGAGTGGAACAGCTCCGAGTCCACGTCTCCGATGTTGGCTGGGAGGGAGAGGCCCTGGAGCCAGCGCGTGCCGCCTGAAGGCACGGGGGGGGGGGGCGGTCAGATGAACGGCGTAAGTCCCCGAAAGGCTTCGCTGGCACCAATCACTTCGCATTTGAGCAAATTAAAACATTGCACACAAAGTATACGCGTAGCTAACTACTTCACATTATTTACAGTAAAATAGCTAACTACAAAGTGTCCTAAACAGCTCCACCCTGAACTTTTCCCTTCCTCTTCACATTCCTCCCTCCCGGCTCTCCTGCACCCACCGCTCCCCACTCACGTTTGGAGTCGAGCTGGAACCCCGTGTAGCAGTCGTCCTCGCACGCCCTGGCCGGCTCAAAGACTAGCTCGCCGAGCGCCGTCCTTTTCTCGGGCTCGAGCACGACGGGCGCTCGAGCCGAGAGGGGTCGGTAGACGAGGCGCCGGTCGGCCGGCTCGGCACGGACGCTCGAGACGGTCATGGCGTGGCCGAACGCCGAGTAGACAGACAGAGGCACCGCTGACGTCTTACCCTGCGGTGGGTAGAGGTGAACGGGATTGTAATAGAGGCCGCCGGAAACACACATAAATTAGTAACAAATACTGACTAGGAGAGAGAAAGGGGTGCGCTTAAGAGTATGGAGAACACACATGGCAAGACGCTCGCTGCAGAAGTACGTAACATCGCCGACTGGTTAGCCTGGCATCACAGAGCGGTTACACTCACACTCATCTATCTTATTATTCAGCCCAAACGTTCAACCCGATCAGGATGGCATGTCACGACTGATGTGAAAACTGAAAAGTGACCACTCACGGGGAACGCCTTCTCGAAGGTGACCACTGCTGGCACGGTAGACAGGCTGCCCAGCGCCACTCGCAGTCGGAAAGGCACCGTCGGCTGCTCGAACTCAGTGTGGACGAACGCCGACGCCACGAACAGACCCTCGCGCTCCGGCGACACGATGCCCACACGCATTATGGCGTAGTGGTGCGGCTTGAGCACCAGCTGGGGACAGAGCAGAGGGGTGGCATAGTCTGGTTAGAGCGAACAGCAATACGCCCGGAATGAGCTTGCATTGGGACCTATTAGAGGTGGTCGGATCATATGTTAGCCTATGAGGAGTGGCAATAAATTATTGGTAGGTATTACATACATAAAACAGAAAAGATTGGTACACCATCACCAATATCACGTTCAAAGAACTAACCAACGCCGCGAGAGGGATCACTATCACATGTTAATCGCGGGTGAACCCACCGAAAGGGGGAGTGGGTCGTTGCTTGGGGAAAACTGTGCTCACGTGATTATCCCCGGGTGGGGTCAATAATGGGAGGCCAGTCTCAATACTCACCTGTCTTTTCGCGGTAGAACCCTCTGGATAGAGGGGATAGAGTCATGATTGGAGAGGACTGTACTCACGTGTTTGTCGCGGTAGGGCCCGCCGTGTCTGCGCACGATCTCCGCCTCGGCGCCGCGGTCGGTGCCGGCCAGCTCGACCACGCTGCGGCTGAAGTTGCTGCCCCAGCCGCGCAGCTCCACCGGGATCGGGTTCTCGTTGAGCAGGTAGAAGTACATGTCGCGCGACTCGCCCACACCCAGCGTGCCAAAGTCGAGCAGCTGACCGCTGCCGGCGCTACTGCCGCCCTCTGGAGTTACAATGTACTGCGGGCAGGGAGCACCGGGTGTCACAGAGGAGGAGGGAACGAACGGCAGGGAGCCTCACACTTGCACAACACCGCTGTCAATTGCCGCAAAACAAGCAAATTAAATGAGACTGCACATGTTCAGCTGTTACATAGGCATCTGTTACACAGGCCACCACCTACACGGTGGCCTGTGTAGCAGATGCCTGTGGGCTCTGAAGTCCTCACCGATCTCAGTTTTCCCTTGTGGACATACCTCCGACCGGTTTGATTTTGCCCACATTAGGTTACTGTCACATTTTTGCCGTATAGCATGCGACTGTCTCTCAGCGATCTCAGCTTGTCCGTGTCGCGTCTCACCGATCTGAATTTTCCCGTGTATCAGGTGTCTGTAGTTCTCACCGGTCTGAGTTTGCCCGTGTAGCTGTTATTACGAGCGAGCGAGCGCAGCGAGCGAAGCGAAGTCTTTTCAATATAACGGAAAAATCTCAGTATGAGCGGCCCGGCCCGGCCCGGCCCGGCCTGTAACGCTTTTGAGAGGCTTATATCTCAGCAACCGCTGGACCGATTGACCCGCGGTCTTTTTTGCTGGGTAGCCCCATCTCTTCTACCCCGTAATTGACTACTTTTGATACATCTCAGTGACCGTCGTGGCACGTGCCACGTGAAAAGTCAAGGGTGTTAAAGCTGTTTTGCAAAAGTAGCGATTTTGAAAGGCTCATATCTCAGCAGCCGCTTGGGCGATTGTCTTGCGGTAATTTTTGTAGGGTAGCTGCATCCCTTCTACGAGAAGTCTGATACTCTTCATCTTTGTGAGTGACCCCCACTGCACGTGCAAAATGCAAAAAGAATAGGTGCCAAATTTGTTCCCAGTTCAATAACTCGGTAATTACTGGGGCGATTTCGCTGAAACTTGGCATACAGGTAGGCACCCACCAGGCGATGCATTCCCATGTGTTGCGGTTAGGGTGCTACTGCACGTGCGCACGTGCAGGGGGCGTTTCCAGATCTCGAGAACGGCTGGGCCGATTGAGCTCAAATTTGGTACACGGTTGGAGACCGGTTAGTAGGGTGCCGTGCAAAAGTCATTTTGGACCCCGTTTGCACGTGCGCACGTGCAGAATGCCGCTTCCAGATCTCAGGAACGGCTGGGCCGATCGCTTTCAAATTTGGCACACCGATAGCGATCGGTTAGAAGGGTGCTTTGCATAAGCCCGTTGGAAGTACCCTCTCGCCTTTCCGCACGTGCGGGGCTCACTATCTCGCTCGCTCGTTCTTCGCCCAAAAGGCGTTTTACTGGTATAATGTAGGTATATACTCGTAGTTCTCACCGATCTGAGTTTGCCCGTGTAGCAGATGACGGGCAGTCGCAGCTCAGGGTGATTGTGTTGTGTCTGTATTTCTCACAGATCTGAGTTTGCCCGTGTAGCAGGTGTCTCTCTGTATGTCTCACCGATCGGAGTTTTCCCGTGTAGCAGGTGACGGGCAGCCGCAGCTCGGTGACGTTCGTGTACAGCACCAGGTGGGCCGTCAGCTGCAGCAGCGGCTCCGGCGCCCGCAGCGTCAGGCTCAACAGAGACGCCGACTCGTTAGGGGTCAGGATCCTCGGACCCCGCCACGACACCTGGCGAGCGCACGGGCAGCCGGTCAACAGACTGGGGCGACACTGCTTGGGCAAATGGTCAGTCCCGGGAACCACAGACGTTCGTCACATCCGCAGCAGCAGTGACAGAAAAGCCAGCATTGCAAGGCTACCTCAACACGCATTTCCGCCAGTCTTTATACACTTCTCAAGCTATCAGTAGATCGTAAACCACAGCCACCTCTAGCTCCATCGCCTGACTGCTCCTGAGTCGTCACTTCCAGTGAGATATGGAGCACGTCCTTTCCTAGGCCCTCAAAACGTCCAGCCACCCACCTTGAAGTGTTGTCCGGCGTCGTCCGTGAGCGACACGTTGTAGACGGCCAGCGGCACGGCAAACCGGTTGGTGACGGTGACGTTACGCGGCCGATCGGCCCCCTCCGCTGTCACGTGAAACTGCAGCTGGGTCTCGTCCCACTCCAGGCTGCCCGGGACTATCTCGGCCGAGTACGGTATCTGAGGGGTAGAGAAAGAAACGGTCAGCGAGGGCGACATAACTTCAGAGGCAGGGTGGTCATTGGTCAATGCCGTTACACTGAACTACCCATTATGCACCCTGGTCTCTCATGTTAGAAAATGTTTATGGGCGTTAAAAAGATTAAGAGGGTCTCCAAACATGCCTGTTGCAAAATGACCTAACCCCATAAAATACAGCATCACCGAATGTTCTGGCATTTAGACAGGGACCATCAACTTCCTTTTTGTTTCACACTGGTCCTACAAGGAGGCATCTACGAGGCAGAACATTCTTATCCAACTAACCTGCAATTTGTGTTGGTTGCTTTTGGACTTGATGAATATTTTGCCGCTGAGCTGCTTCTCTGATCGTACCCGGTCAGCTGAAAACACAAGTATCCGATTAAAATGGTCTGTCTTAAACAAATTCACAATTGCGATACTACAATGCCTAGGCCCTAGTACTGACTTACTGGTGAGGTGAGCAAAGTGGCAGCACTTAAACTCCAAAGGTCCCAGCCGGTTTGCCTCGGGACCGTCATAGGCAGCGTTTGGTCGATTCACAATATAAAGTTTTCCCGGTCAGTCTAGTTCAGCAGTCGACACGGCCACCCATTAGTAACAGCAGCTTCCCCAAACTTGACTCGTATGCACTTACCTACTTCCCATTCAGTTCCTAGGTCTATTCGCTCCCTTTCATTTATAAAGCCAACCCTAATGGCATCATTTTGGCGCTGAGATACTCAATGTCCTGTATCACACGAAATGTAGACCTGCCGTCCATGACAGAAGTTGGCAGTTCCCTATGCTGCCTTTCGCCTCCCTCATGAGTCTTCCGCCCTCCCAAACAGTCTCCAACCAGCCGATTAATTTACGAGAAGCACAAATTGACCTCGGGTAGTGTTGGAGATGGCCCTAACTTTGCCCAACGGTATCAACAAACCCAACCTAGCCACCTGTTTTGAGTCACGGGTTATCAACTCACGATAGAAGGTGACCCGGGCCACGTTTGTCGCTCGCCCGGTGGTCGGCGGAATCTTGAGCGGCTCGAACTCGATCTGTACAGCATCGTTGGCCGGACTGGCCACCACATGCTGTAACAAAGAGGGAGACGGGAGTGTGTCAGAAAGTGATGTACCCGGCACGAGGGGCCTCCTTGATTGGTTGCTGAGTGGATGAAAGGGTCATTCTGAGTAAGCGAATGAGCGATTAATTAACATCGACGAATGTTAAAGTGTGCGAGAAAATGACAAGTGATACTCTCAGTTCTCGAAGTTAGCACCTAGGGTAGGATGCTTCAATATTGGTGGACTTGAAAATACTATTGGGAATAACAAACGCTTACTACTGCAATAACCTTATGGAAATCCAACTACCAATGTCGATGACTGGGTACCAGAAATCACAATGTTACAGCCATGCAATCGGTTGTAGTGTAAAATCGCGACCATAAAACCCCCACTAATGTATCGCATTTCACGACGGCCAGAACCATCGGCCTGTGTATCCTCCACTACAGCCACGTGGCCTGGTGCCACAAATGGCTGTTCCCTGGGCACATCCGGTGTCAGTCAGTGCAGGCTGACGATACTCTGATTCACCGTAGTTACACCCCATTGTACCACATGGCAGGTAACCCGTGGGCAGCCGAAGACCATCAGACTCAGTAAAGTAAGCTAGGACGGTAGGGAGGGGGAGGGACCGGCACCTGCCGCTGGTGACTCATACTGAGCCGATCGATCTGTGTAACTTAGTCGACCTCCGTCGGTAGTTCCACGACCCGCGGCCTCCTTCCACGACTTTGGCCCATGCCAAACAATGGGCCATCCCTATTCCCGGTCCTTCAGCCTCTTAGTCCCCGAACCAAAGACCTCTCCTCTCAACCAGACTAGAGGTGGCAAAATGTGGACCCGAGGACCCGGTCCACGATTCTGGTATAATATCGTACGATTTCATGTTGTATATTTCACTCGGCCAGCAGGACAGAAATTTGACACCAGCAGGCCATGGGGTGCGGTACTGTTAACCCGGCACCGCCTGGGCTATTTCCGTACCCACGACAGCCTGGGGGGGGGGGGGGGGGTCGGATCCGACCCCCCCCCCCTGTTATCTCGAGAACCAATGGTCGTATCGAGCCCCGCGAGGCGGCGTTCGAAAGGTCTCTACGAGACCTTCCCAAAGCACTCTTAAGATTTTAAGATTGAGGTCAACTTTCGGGTCAAGGTCAGGTCAAAGGTCAAATTCAGGGGTTTTGCATGATTAGGCTTACGGACAGCGGAATCGATAGCTGCTGCTCGAAACTCACCAAAAATGACCTCAAAGGCCTAGTGAAGGTACCATGCGCGTATAGGGGTCATACTAAGTACGGGTCAAGGTCAGGTCAGGTCACGAAAGGTCACGGTTTTCACTTTCTGCTACATGGGCGTGCGACGCATGTTTTATGGCTTATTTTTCACGCCGAATCCGATGGTAATGGTTATATGTAACCCCAAGTCACTGTGCTGGTGATAAGTGTGCATTGAAAGCATAAAAAATCGTTTATACCATACATAACTAAACGAGGGCTAAGAAAAAGTCAATTTTTCAACTTTTTATTTTTGACATAAAAATGCACTTTTCTAGACGAGCTTTGTCCCAGGAATCTAGTGGTGCCATTTGTTTTCACATGCGATGTTCAGAAGTGCCTCTAATTCACGAAAATGCTTATGACGTCACCATGCCCTATGCATGTTGGAGCTATTTTTTACAATTTGGGGGTCAAAAATCAAGATAGAAAGTTGAAATTTGGGGCATCTAATGTTCTAATAGAGCTCTACAACATATATTCCGGTTTTTTGGAAATTCAAAAATTTTTGGATTTTATTAGCTGTTTTCCAAAAAATATAGTTTTTTGAATTTTTAGGGGTGAAAAACGCATTTTATGGAAAATCCGAGATAGCCATTTTGAAGAACTCGTTGAGCTGCGTCTTTTCATGTCCCTAATTTGCAATTTGCTTTAAACCCTGATTTTTGGCGATTTTTTAAACATTTACCACTTTTTGACTAAAAAGGCCATGTAGTTACCTCACTAAAATCGATATATCTCAAAAATTTTTGGAAATTTTTTCTTAAAAATTGCACAGGAGACGTCAAATTGATGGGGGAGAAGGTATGCCAAGTTTCAAGTAGATAGCGAAAGTGGTTCATGAGTTATTCAAGAAAAACGGAGGGGGCGGGTCGGATCCGACCCCCCCCCCCCCCAGGCGGTCGCGGGTTTTAACTGTACAGTTGTACACTGTACATTAACTGTACAGTTGTACACTGTACAAGCGACCGACGTTGGCGGCTTCTGGGACAAGTTGTGTTCAGATGTAACTGATCGTCACCGTCACAAGGGAGCACAATTATTCGCATTCAAACCGCCAATCTATCCCAACCACCACAATCTCATCAAACGCTTTGGAATTCTAAGCTAAGGATTGACTCAACATTTATCACTTGGGTAGTCTCTATCTGTTCGCTGCCTCAAGTGGCTGACTGATTTGAGTAGCTCACTTTGTCAATTAGTTCGCCTCTCATGACAATCTAAATCCTAGCATAGAGTGACGATAGTCGAGGGGTTGCATGATATTCAGAGCCGCATTTCACGCGTCAGCCTTGTCTTGAGATGCATTACTTTGTCAGCCACAATCATGTCATACAGCCACTTCGGTCATATTATAGCTGATGACTAAAGCCGTAGCGATTTCCTATCACTCAAGATACGTCGTTTTTTGCCATAAGACCCCATGACTATGTACGGATCTCCTCGCTCTTCTTACGACCTAATTTTAGCCGTGAGTATCGATAGCGCGGTAATCAACAGTCAGCTGGGTGCTGACACCATTCTCCCAGGCTAGTTACGACGAGGCGTCCACCGTTCCGTCGTGAGTCTGTCTGCGCCATCCAGCAGCTGGTCGGTATCTCTGACTCCCACCACCGGTCTGAACTCCCCGGTCCTCAAGGTCAGGGGTAGGCTGCCACCGTCGAGTCCCGCTCTGTCCTCCCCAGTGCGAGGAACAGCTCTCCTCGTACCTCTCAGCGCAAACCTCCCCTGACCCCAAAGCTGAGGTCGAATCCTAGAATATCCCAGCACTGAACTCCCTAGTCCCCTGCACCGGGGCTGACTCCCAAAATATCCCAGTCCTGACCATCCCTAGTCCCCTGCGCCGGGGTTAACTCCTACCATATCCTAGTCCTGACCAGTGCTCACCACGGGCCGCAAAATCCCAGTCCAGCCCAGCCAAAGCCCATGGGTTCACAGCCCGGCCCAGCCCGAGCCCATTCATGGTTAAAGCGTCAAAGCCCAGCCCGGCCCAGTCCCTCAAAAATGCATGCATTAGCAATTATTGACACCGCACAGGTATCCAAGGGCAGCAAAGAAACAATGTTTTTTTTTTGCGAGCAGCATGCACAATGCAATGCACATTGCATGCACATTAACTCGTTTTTTTTTTAGTCTTGCACAGTAATAAGCTATGTAGTTATAATTTTTGTCTCAGTTGCGAACCCCTGAGTCCACTTTACAGTTCTTGGCCCAGCCCCTCCATAGCCCATCGATCCCTCATATTTGAGGGCCCAGCCCAGCCCAGCCCATGGCCCAATGGGACTCCTGACCCCCTACCCCCTATTCCTCTGCGCCGGGGCGGACTCCCGCAATACCATAACCTCTACAATGCCCAATGCCGGGGCTAACTCCCATCCCTGCCGTCCCGCGGCACCCACCGCCCCAGGGCCAGCGTGTCAGGAGCGCTGTCCCTGCGGGCCCGCGGCCACCGCGGCCGGCCGGGTACGGTCGTACGATAAGAACCCCCTCCCCACCCCCCGGCCCCCTGGGGAGGGCCGTGACGTCATCGGGACCAGGACGGGCCGGCGATACCACTCTACACCCCCGCCCCCGGGGCAGCCGGCCGGTCGAGGCTATCGTATCAGTCCCGTGACTTCTGCCACAGGAAGGTATACGATGATTGTGTTCGGGAGCATTCTGCCTGAATCAGTTTTCATCACTCAAAAGACAAGTGCGCTACATCAAATGGTTAATGGGGATGAGGAACCGAAGGGTAAAGGACCTTGGATATGTGAGGTGTCACCATGTAAACTACAGAGATATAGCTGTTTATTGTTCCAGCAACCTCCAATGCACCGGCCTGTCCCCTCAGTCCCTCTTCCGACTCCAAATAAACCCACCGTCCAATCCACCCTCTCGTTCACCGCAGTCCATCCTCTCGTCCACAGCAGTCCACCCTCTCGTCCACCTCCCGTCCACAACAGTCCACCTCCCTCCACGCACCTGCAGGTGGATGGGTTTGTTGGCGGCGTTGAGTAGCGGCAGCCACAGTTGCCGGGGCGGACTGCCGGCCGCCACCAGTCCAAAGTCGAGCCGCTGCAGTGGACAGAAGAGGCCCGGCTGGGCGGACACCTCGACCTCGACCGGTAACACCAGGTAGTCGTCGGTGGGACCCGAGCTGTTCGTCTTTATCCTGGTGGAGCAGTCAGAGCAGGCGTGCGGGATCAGTATGAGCGAGGGGGATGCAAGGTGCTATGTAGAATACCAGGGCTCTAAGGTGTTATCGCAATTGCAGCATACAAAACAGGGAGGTACGATGAGTGTTTCCGACAGCATCCAGCCTGCGTCAGTTTTCATCACTCAAAAGATGCGCAGGAGCAGCTACAATTAATCAAAATAAAATTGAAAACAAACATAATGTCGGGAGTTTCTAAATTAACAGTCATATTTAAAACCGTTTAATGCAAACTTTTAATTTAATGCCGACTTTTGCCTGGAAACTCGGATAAAAAGCATTTCATCACATGGTCAAAATAATATCCCCTCCTTGTGCATTTTCCAGAAGCTCGACCACACCAAGGCGGTAAATTGACCGTTGTGCCGGTAAAACACGGGGCATTCCACGTCAAATCAAACACCGAAATCCGTCATCCCCTTCGATTTTTCTGAAAATTTGTAAGCAGACTGGGCATGGTTCAAAACTGAGTTACGTATAATATTTTCGAAATTTGATAACGTATCGCTGAGATATAGGTCATCGAATATAGCGAAAAATGCCACACATCCATTTTTTAAATGGCTATAACTCTGGTTCCTTTTCTGGTATCAAAATGATATTAACAGGGTCTTATAGGCGATTGATAAGGCTTTGATTTTTAATTATAAAATTAAATTGAAGTGACCTTGAAATGCATTTGACCTTCAATTAAAACAGAAAAATCTAAATAGCAAAAAACACGTCACCTTCGATTTGGGTAATTTTTACATATTATGTCCGTCACAATGTTCCTAACCATCTGTGAAATAATTGGAGTGGGCCATTCATAACTTTCGCGGCAAACGCCGTTTTCATGCATCAACATCACGCAACCGCGCGTGACCTTGAAAGACAGAGTCAAGACATGCTTGCTTGAGTACGCTTTATGAAATGAATGATTGCTGATTAGTGATATCCCAAACTCTGCGAGAATGGAAATGCATAGTCATCGTAGTCAAGCATTCACGTTCCATAGTAAAAGTGTCTCAGGCAAACGGTATTTTGCGGTGAATTTTGAGCCGTGTGGAAATGCATCATGAAGTAAATTCAACGCAAACATTATCACGCAACGATATCTTCACGTCTTTTGACCTTCACTATACGAAAGAAGATACATTTTTTAGTATGTATGGGGAATTTCTAGTTAATCCAATAATAAATAGGTATGGCAGTTAGAGGCCTGCTAAGAGTAACATGTCGCCGGCTGAGGCGGGCTCGGCCGATGCGGGAAACGCAGCAATCACAATTTTGTGTTTACACGTTCATATTTCAATTGTTTACCAACCGATTTCCAAAATTCTTTCACCATAAGATTGCCTGTACATTTTTTAGTCTTCTCACAACATTTGACGCGAATCGAACGTAATCAGCGGTAGGGAGCGCGATGTAAAGACGGAATCGTTCCGTTCCGTCCCGGCACAGTCTACAATTCAGGCGGCGCGTAGCGGTCGGCGCCGGCTGCCGAGTCGCCGCGTCGCTGCGGCGACAGGATGTTCACTTTACACCGCTATTACTAGAACAGTTGTGAACCGATTTTCTTATTGCTTGCACGATGAGATGTCCAATTCAATTCTTGACAGGTAGCCATAATTAATTTCGCATTAATCTTATGAGATATTGGCGAAAAACAGGAGGGGTGGGCGAAATTCGCTCTTCCCCCTCCACTGCGCGTGCTAACATACGTTTGCATATGTGCAATTTTCTTCAAAACTTATGAATGGCCCACTCTAATTTTTTCACAGGTTGTTAAGAATATGGTAGGCAATAAAATATATGAAAATGAGCCAAATCGAAGGTGACGTGTTTTTTGCTATTTCAATAAATGTGCTTAAGAACAGAGTTAAGCAAATTTCAAGGTCATATATTTAAGTAGGTGCAATTCTAAACAAATGCTTAAGAAATTACCTAAACAGTAAGGTTTATTTCATTCAAATCAAACAAGTACAACCAAAGTTATGGTCGTTCAAAAATATAAAGATGCAACATTTTGTAAAAATTTGATGCCCTATATTTAGAAGACCTGTGGTCAGAATGTGCAAAAAAACATCAATGTAATGTCCGGGGCCACACAGGAACTCGCTCACAAATTTATAATGAAATCGCTGATGGTAAGGTGCAAAACAGCCGATTTTTGTTCGATTTGACGTGGAATGCCCCACACACCAAACGATCGTTATTCCGGCCACGAGCTGAACACAATGAATGTCGCCGCCGTATTAAGTAGTGGTCCATTAGGGCACAACGTAGTACCTCAGCCGTGGGCGCTATGACTGTATGCCGACATTCCTGCCCCGGACTGACCGGAGTGTGGCAGCTCTGCCGACATTTCGCTGTTTCATTATTTCCGCGCCGCGGTGGCCAGTCAAATGGGGCGGCGCCCGACGGCGGGGCAGATGGACTGGCGGCGGGCAGGCCGGCCGGCCGCCGTTAGGTCCGACTCGGGTAATGGGGAAGTGGCACGCCGGAGCGGGCACGGTTCGTGCCCTGTTTGTGGTACCCCGGGTAACAAACCAAACAGAGGTGGAACGCAGCTGCCCGGGCAGCCGCGGCGTGGGGCAGCGGACAAATCGGAAATCGGCCGGTCACGGCTGTATGGAGTGGCCACTTATGGCTAGATATCACGGATGTCACCGGTAAACGTGCCGTGGCTGGATGTTGCCAGCTCATATAGCACGCCTGAGCTATCCATGTAACGTAGCCATCAGCTATAGTTGATCAAAAACTGGCGGAGCAAGAATGATGGAACAGCATGCAAAGGGGCTCACTTACTAAAATATGGACATTTTATCGCGTAATGCTCCTCAGTTTTAGAAGCAGCTCATCTCTTGCTGTTCAGTGCTAGCAATACCCCTTCAACGTGATGAGTCGTCTGGTCATGCAGTTCATTTGCCAGATATTCGTCATATCTAGTCCATGAGTCAGAAATTTACCATCTTTAGTTTACGAGTCCATGCGGCCCACATCCCGCAGTTGGTATGTCCCGGCCCCAGCCCGTTATATGACCGGCACCAGTGCACCCAGGACAGGGGTGACATCAGTCAGTTATAAACTGAGCGAACATGCATCGCGGTTTGTTTGTTATCAACTGACCCAAACGACTCGCCATGCACATTGTCACAAGCGGCACTGTGGCATGTCAGTGGAGCGCCAGGCTGATAGGGTGATGCAATGACCACAAAATATTACCAATATATCTTAATTATCTTGTCCACGACTAGCATCCATAATCGTTCCGTGCCGTGGCACATTCCATTAGAGATCGGCTTGCCACGTACATAAAGAACCAACTGACTTTTTGACATTGGTGCCATGCTCACGAAATGAGGGGTGTAGAATAGCTATACAGGAAGCAGCCGGGAGTGCAAGAGCCTCTGGTGTACACGTTTTTTTAGCAAAGGAAGCGGTGTGATAGCTTTGAGCTTCCCGCTTACAAAACCGCAGAGAGACCGCGTACGGACGGGGAGATCCCCACACCAGAGAATACGCCGGGAGTTCACGCTGTTCAGATCCGTTAGACTCCCAGACCATCTGTACGAACCGCACTGTACTGTAGGTATTTAACTGTACGTTTTACATCGTTCCCTCACCGTATGAAGGCGGTGTGGTTGTTGGCCTGGCGCGCCACGAAGCTGGCCCGCATCACGGGTCGGCTGTGGTAGGGCGGCACCTGCCACTGAGCGCGGGAGCCCTCGACGTCTCCGGACGGCAGCTCCAGGTGTAGATCGCCGCCGCTGCTGTACATCTCCGTCACCTGCGACGGCAGAGGGGTCAGCTCAGAGTGTGTCAGAGGGTCAGCCCAGAGCGCGTTGAGAGTCAGTCTACCGCCGCTGCTGTACATCTCCGTCACGTGCGACGGCAGAGGGGTCAGCTTAGACTGTCAGCTGAAGCTCAGAGGGGGCAGAGATCAGATCAGAGCGCGTCAGAGGGTCAACTTAGAGTCGAGACACAGCCCAGCAACCTACCGTCAATACACAGAGCGCCAGTCGTCAGAGAGTCAAAGCGTCAGCTCACGGAGAGATTCAGAATACACAGCGTTAGCCGCAAGGACATAACAGGGTCATATAGCGTCAGTTCACAGTGCGTCAAAGCTTTAACTTCTTGCAAGTGAGAGTCGCCCCGGAGAGTGTCAGCGTACCTATGTCGTACACATAGTGTGTCGGCTCACACAGCATCGATCTACACACCTTCGATTACAAACGCACCAGATTAACATCCATCATGCGGGGGGGGGGGGGGGATTGTTGACAGGGCAGACGGCCTGCGCGACGGCTAATATATCAGCCACCACGTCAGCTATTCTTCGACTACAAAGTCAGTTATCGGGTCGGCTCGCGGGCGAGTGAGGCGAGTGTAGAGGCCCTTAGTCATCTATCGGGTTATGGCGCCACACGATAAGGTTAGAGAGACCCGTCACTCTTCAGATAGGGCTAGTTAGGGGCCCCGAGTTGGTCATTTATCGGGTCACGGCAGGACGCTAGTAGGTTCGCGACACGTCACTCGTCAGGTCATCCATCACATCGCCCCCGGGGAGGCTATCACTGTCAAATATCTGTCATTAACCGCGCCACAGGCACTGCGGTAGTCGAGTGGACCAAGCGCCCTGGGGCTCTGCCAGAGGCCAGTGAGACATCCGTCCCACCAAAATGTCACCAAACTAGACGGTCGATGTCAGAAATAACGGTTCTCAATTACGCGCGACATCTGTGTCAGAGTATAAAAAAAAAAACGTTTTTATGATCTCTGCCCAAGAATACCCAGTATAGGGCATTAAAAATGTAAGTATAATTAAGGGAAATGCCTACATGCACTGCAAGTTTCAAAAAGCATTGCTTATTTAGGAAACGATACAACTTCCTGTTTTCGAGAACCTCTGTAACTTCGTGGAAGCTGCTCTGACTGAAAAGCCCCGGTGAGACTAATGATTCGCGCTTCCCTCTTTCCTATCAGCTGCTCCGAGATCGCATACCAAGAGATGCTACACCAATATCCCAAATCAAAACGCTCATCATTATTGCTTACCTGTAACGGTGTTTTGTGTGGATTGTACATTTCTATCAATGGCGAATAACTTGAATTTAGAGGCATTTTCACGCCGACCAGCGGTTTCAGTCGGTAAGGGTTCGGCGTTCCTTCCGCCTTGACCTGCGGAAGCCCGGGGGGGGGGGGAAGGGGTCAGTGGGGGGGTCGGTGCGGGCGGTAGCAGCGTGGAGGGCGCTCATTGGCGTAGACCGGTCCGTGGAGCACGCCGTGCACGGTCCGCACCACCCACCGTCCGCGCGGGGGTGGGGGCGGGGGGGGGGGCGGGGGCGGATCGATGGCCCACAGTGAATAGGGTCAACCAAGGGACGGTCTGAGGCGGCCTACACTAGGACACGGTTCCATCAGCCCGCAATGGGCGGCACTGACACCCACAGAGGAGCTACGAAAGGGAAGCGCCCAGGGAGGGTGGTAGCGGATCGAACCAGCGTCAGTTTCCCTGCACCAGGCGAGTCGCCCCGTGGACAACATCGCGTGTCAGACACTCGGCGACCGACACTGGCGCGTGCTCAAAGGACTAGGTTCCTGGGTTTCCAGGGGTTTGGACATAAACAGCGCCGCATTACACATATAGCGCTGAATTAAAAATGAACGGGTAGATGGTGAAAACATGGATAACACTGCAGCGATGACAACGTGATTAAAACATTAGAACCGTGTTACAAAAACAGGCACGTCGCGACAAGCCAGTTGAAAGCACTGTTGACAGTATCGTCGACAGTAATTAATGACAGTAGTCGCTGTCCGAGCCATACTGAGAAGCTAGCATACCACTCCTGAAATGGAGAGCGGCCGTTCGTCCTGATCGTTACCTTAAACCGGAAACTGCCGACCGACGAGTGAATGTAGAGGTAGCTCTCGACGGGCCCCACCTCCCGCCCAAGGAATACCACGTCTAGCGACGTGTTCCCTAAAGGTGGTACCATCTGCGACACAAGGAGGGGCGCAAGTTAGAGCAGAAAGAGTGATACACAGCGAAAGAGCTCAGTGTGATCAGATCGCGGAGGCACAACACAGCGTAAAAAATCAGCCAAGGAGCATCAGTCAGATTCTTCCTCAGGGCAATGCAATTTGAAACAAACTCCATTTCTGTCGCCATACACGCTCAAGATTTACTAAGCTCTTTTTTACAGCATGCAAGGAATATGCAATGAGCAATGAAAATGTGTTATGCAATGTATTCGTTAGTCATATATTGCATTCCGCTTCAAGGAACACGGCACAGCTATTTGCCCAAAGAATGCTCATTATGCAGACAACAGCAATTACCCTTACCTTTTCTTGGAAGAATGTGCAATGAAAATGCACTGTGCTGCCTGATATTGACAGCATTGATATTGTATGTTCGGCAGAAGGGTTGTATATCATAACCCGTTCCACATGTGGCATTCCCAACGGACTGTAAAACACACAAAAAGAGCGTCAGTGAAGACATGTGGCTTATGATGTCGCCAGAGCGGACAAATTAGTCTTATAGACACAGGGGACGGGCTCCAGCTCTCAATAAATGCAACAGCTCGGCAAAAAACATTAGGCGAAACATCAAGACGCCATCTCTAACTGAACACCAAACCCACTGACCGGTCACTTGTTCTGGGGAGAGGGGAGGGGACGGACACGGTACGAACAAAGACAGGTCGGGTTGGGGGACGGCAGCACTCGATACTATCGGTCGGAAAATTGGTTCCGATAGCCTATGCCTTTCGAGCGATTGTCATCTCGCATATCATCCGCCGATAGTGGCTGTCAGCTGGCCTAGGTCAGGATAACGAAATTAATATAAAGTGTCATTCACTTCATATTGAAATGTATTTGAAAGAAGCCATATTTATTTACCAACTTAGATTACTAATCAAAAATCAATAATTGCTTGCCATCGCCACAAGAAGCGGCATAAGCATGGGGGAGCAAATATCCAAGCACTCTCTCGGCATTTCTGGAAGTGCGTAATGGCCTGGGTAATGCCTCGGATCATGTATCGCTCTCGATATATAAAACATGACTGCAGGTGATCACAGATATTCTAAGAAGCATTCAGCTCCTGAGCACCGAGCACGGCCTAGTAATATGAGGAGCGATATTGGCGTCATCATGACAATCATTTTCGCGGTCAGGAACGGCCCATTTCTATCGGAGAGGTTCATTTCAGGTTTCAACAGTATGTTTTGCGGTCAGAACGGTTATTTTCAAGTCAGACGGGCCATTTTGGGTTGAACTGTTCATTTTGGGTCAGAGTAGTCTATGTGTTGGGTTAGAATGGTCCATTTTGGAGTCAGAATGGTCCACCAGTGTCAGGGCAGGTGTCTGGCCCGTTGTCAGGCAGTTCCACACTCCACTGCCCGCTCAGAGTAAATCACTGTGGAGTAAGGGTGGCTAACTGTAAAGGTCATGTCGGTTATGATTATCCACCGATGACTATCCACAGATAAGTCCGGTCACTCCGCCACGGTGTCCAGTCCGTCCACTACCGCCGTCCATACCCTCGGTCCTGGCCGCCCGTCCCAGCCCCGCGGGCCGACGGACTCGATCGATGGGCCGAATCACGCTACTGACTGCCCCTCACACGGCTCTGCGCGACATAGCGACGGCTGGCGACAGCGGCGGACGGCGATCGGCCGCACGCGACAATAGGGTGACGCAGAGAGCGGAGGCTCAGACATGTCACGGTAGATGGGCACGGGGAGAGCATGATGGGGATGGACAACGGACTGGAGGGAAGGAAATGGAGGAATTAGTGGGAGACAGCAGACAAGAGATAGACAAATGACAAAGCAAAAGTGGTGGTAGAGGGATACGGTTGGTATAGTGCATCATAACTATCTTTTACACATGGCGCATCCCGCATCGGTATTCGACAGGCACGCGAGGCTCCCATCCGAACACAAGACACCAGCGCACAAAGCGCAGAACAGTGGGATCACACCGAACATCCAGCAGACGCGGATTGTGGTGACAGTAACATCCATCCGACATCTTACGGTCGTTGGAACTTGAAAACTCATTGGGCACATTATCTGCCTTGTCATTTGGCGGCGCGTCACAAAGCCTGCAAGCTAAGATGTGTCTGTTTCGTTCTTATGGAAGTACCAAACTTGCGGCCATCCCCACAAGAAGAGGCCGCCTGTATTATCTGCCCTTCTTTACCCTGTTACCAACCGGGCTGACACCCGGACTCGCCCTGCCCGTCCCATTATGTGCCGTCCGACACTTACTGCTCCTTGAAGTCGAGCATGGGCGGGTCGAACCGAATGGACGGCTGCTTGTCGAGGTCTGACGAGCCTCGACTCGGCGTGCCGTCCTCGGAGATACTCTGCGGACGGGCCGGGGAGGCGTCACAGGCGTTACAGGCGTTACAGGCGTCACAGCGGGCCACGGTCACGGGGTGTGAACTATAGACGTAGTCTGTTGGACTACTCACCAACAACGTAATACGGCGGGGACATGACATTTTCACTGACGTCTGTATTCCGGTGACACATTAGCAGTGACACATCATGTCTGGCACATCGTATCTAGCACATCATCGAACCCACTCTCATCGCTCCGATCAATATCTCGCCCATTTCCCCAAACGCCGCGACCGCCTGCCAGCCTCAGACCATCCTGAATGCATTGCCCTGGGGCGCGGGGCCGGCGGCGGCGGCCCAGACACACGGCGAGACCATCTTCCCTCAGGACACACCATCAATCATGACCTCAATTAGCAGGCGGGTGCAGACAGCCGGGGCAGACAGCCGGCGCCGGCAGCACTCCGCTGAGACCCGGCGTCTCGCCCGTATACGTGACGTCGGCAGGCCAGGAAGGATACAGGCAGGAGTGTCCCTCACGAGTGCACACACAACCGTACGCGTGTCTCAGGAGTCCTTCAGGCATAGGAGTGGGTTCGAACACCCGCTAGGTAGTGTCTCCTACTCAAGAAATTCCCACAGTGCAGGGGTGTTCCACAAGATATCTTAAACCGGAGCGTCCTTCAGGTGTGTCCCAGTCACGGGAGTATCCCTAGGAGTTCCCACATCAACGGGAGCGTCCCCAATAGTTCCCACAGTCACATGAGCGTCCCGCTCCCCAGGGTTCCATGGCGGCCAGGCGGTCGGTCCCGTGGCAGCGGGCAGACTAGTGACCGACGACACTCATGGGACGAGGAAACTGACTAAAAGAGACATCGAAACCCCATTTTTCAAAAGAGTGTCGTGCCATGTGTGAAGCTACCAGGTGACCAAAATGCAAACGATGCACACGCTTTACGGCCTCATATGGACGCATTGTTCGGCACTTCCGGAATGCGCAATATTTATCTGATGCTTTCTTGCATTACACTGCACTATACTGATTGCAGACACTGCATGGCACATTTTACACAATCCCCTACAATTTATCGCCCGTCAGTACACAGAAACAGTGACCGTTGGCCGCCGCTGCCCGCCGCAGGGGTCGGCCGAGTCAGTTTGTCCGTTCATTGGGAACGGCCGCTTGGTGTGGCCCGTCCAGTAACATATGAGCTGCCCGTGCGATCCCGCCCGAAATATATGGGCCTGGGTTCACTCACCAGCGCACGTCGACATATCACGCCCCAGGAGCGCTCAGAATCCCAACGAAATATTCGCACGGACGACCTTTCGAGGGGAGCGAAATGTGCAATGGGCGTCTTCACGCTGGTGTAAAGCGAGCTAAAAGTAGTCATCGTGAACATACCCGGATAACGTCAGTGCGGACACTAGGCCAGGCAGGCTCTAGCCTGGTAGATACTGATTGGATAGAAGTAGATGCACAGTGTTATTAAGTACAAGTTGACCAGACTCTTACCTCGTACATGTTGACCGAGACGCCATCGACCAGATACCGCAGCTCATTGTCAATTTGAATAAAGGCTGCAACAGACAGAAAAGGCCCACCGTCAGTCGATCATCCAAAGAGGAGATGGATATAGAGTGCTGGACTGGCATATGGCAATCTACGGGGAGCGTTCAGGCTGCGGAAAGTAACAGTGTTCAGGAATGTGATGGCAGCGAGCATTCACCTAAACCGTTTCTGCTAATTCTCACAACTGTCTCATACCTATAATGCATATTTCGACTCTCAAACATATGATCCTAGGATTAACAGCGGGTATAGCCTTTATGACCCGTAAAAAGCGCAGCAGTCACCAACTAATTGGCGGAACTGAAAGGTCACTATACGACCGGGTCACCAGGAGCAATTAAATGTCACATGTGACAACCGGCAGCTGTCAGCATACACCGGACCGGACATCGAACGTGTAACATCATCGGGAGCACGTGGATCGAGGCAGGGAAGGGGAGAGCGGGGCCAACCGCATGAGTTCGGGACGGGTACACAAAACCGTGATAGTGCGGAGTGGGGACCAGGAGGCGTGTCGGTTTGAGTAGAGAAAGGAGACCGCAAAAGCACGAGGCGGAAAGGGGAGGTTGAACAGAATTATCCGCAATACGGAGAGGCGACAGGTCCCGGGCGTAGTCAAAGAAAACACTGAGTGAGGGCAGATCACCGCTAATGATTTACATAATCGGTTGAGATGGGAATAGGACAGGGGCCACGGGGGGCGGGGGACAGCGGACCGTCAGCCCAGGGGTCCACTGCTCGACCACGACCCATATTCGCCAGGTGTTGTGTTTATTATCTGGCTCAATAGCCCGGATCTAGCCCGGGACTACGTGTTTTTATAGCGCGTCCGATCGATACTCCTGTGATGTGGCCAATTGTGGCTGTTTGTTAGCCTGCTACCGGGCTATCGCCACCTGGAAGAATCGCCGCGGCGAAGGTCATCAGCGGCGATGGGCTGACATGGGCCGATATGGCTAAGAATTAAAATCTTATCATCTACTACCAGATGCGAGCTGTGCTAATTGATCATTACGATCTCAGAAAGCATCTATATTTATAACTCTAATAATACATGTCATGAATAAATAACAAAGTATAGCGGTCTTCACTATATGACAGATATAATAGGGAAATCAAGACGCCGTATTTTACGTAATAAGCTCGCATTCGCTAAAAATTTGAACTGGAACGACAAACCGTGCCGGAAAACCTTCACCAGGAAACCGGGTCACCAGATGTATGCTCGTGACACGCGACGAACGGGCGCCGACAGCCGATGACAGTGACACTGACACAATCGTATAAACGACATCGACACTGACACGACCAGCTGATGTCAGCGACAAATAAATATACGTAAACGTCCACAGGCACGTCAGGACCGATGGCTGCCTTTCCTGAACGCTAAATACGGAGACGGGAGCCCTGCTCGGCCGGTCGCCAATGAGCCCAGTTCTGTGCCATTACGAACACGTGATGGCAAAAACTAGCCGCCTAAAATACGACAGATCAGACGGGTAAAGAGCGAAACGATGCCGACATTTATCCAAAGCTGTGTGATTACTTCTATGTCTATCTTTGTGGAATTGTGCAAACAGATAAAACGCTAAACGCCTGAGTATGACCAATAAAGCTCCTGGGAGAGGCAAGTAGGGACTTCTGGGAGACGTTGAAGGGCAGCTTAGGCTGTGAAACAAGCTGAATCCCATTACTGGAAAATATGATAGACGAGCCGACGGGGAGCGACCGCAGTCTTCCCGCATGAAAAAAAACGTCGGTATTTGATAACAAAGCGGCAAAGGGAGATTGTGAGGAGAGAAGAGAGGAGAGGAGATAAGAGGAGAGGAAATGGGTGAAGGAGAGAGAGAAAGAGAGAGAGAGAGAGAGAGAGAGAGAGAGAGAGAGAGAGAGAGAGAGAGAGAGAGAGAGAGAGAGAGAGAGAGAGAGAGAGAGAGAGAGAGAGAGAGAGAGAGAGAGAGAGAGAGAGAGAGAGAGCAAGCGAGCAAGTGTAGAACAAGTAAGCGAATCCATGGCCGGCACAGGAGAATCATCGTAGAACCTCGACAATGGAGCCATCCAATACGTCGTCTCACACCGACGTTCGACACTCGACCGACAGAGACACCGGTGGCGGAGCCAATAACCGTGACGTCGGCTGACGGACGTGACGGGGGCGCCGGTGACCGGCCGGCGGCGCTGACCGATGGCCGCCGTCCGGTCATCGGTCACCGGCGGGCCGCTCAGAAAATACACACACAGACACCGAGACAGGGCCGGTGCTGACGCCGCGCGTCGGCACACCATTAGGCCAGCGCGGACGGCGCCGGACAGCGGCTGGTCGGAGCAGCGGCAGGGCTCCGGTGGAAAATGGGCAGGAAATGGGATAGTAGGGACTCTGCAATACCAGACTTAGTCCCGCTTAGTTATAATAGATAAAATAATTTTGGGACCGATTGCTTTGACAGTGACATTCCATCCATGCTGAGCTGAAAATAAAAGGTGTTATGCAATACAGCTTCTGAAACAATCCGGGCAAGGTATGCATGCATGCGCGAGAATTCAGCGGGGCTGCGAGATTTCACAACGTTGCATAATAGCTGATCATATCGTGGTACTACATGACACTGGTGCAGCCGGCGCGCTACCGAACATTTTCATCACACGCCTGGGAAACGGAGTTCGCATCGAACAAACTGCATTGCCATCAGACTCCTGGGAAACTGGGCTCAGATTGGACACTGTGTCGATTCTGTCACGCCCGAACGAACCAATCACCACAGTAACGCACCGTGACCTGAGTCAATACAAAGCCTACAGCAGTGACGGTCGTTCCGAACAGCAACCACCAGCCACCCGTCTCAGAGCCGAGCCAAGCCGTTACCAAGCGGTTGAACCGTGTTTACCAGTGTTCTGCCAGCCGCAAAAAGGCCGGCCGTTTACATCTGCACCGTGTCGCGTTTCGTGTGCCGTGCCCGCGCTTCCCACGCAGGTACTTTATTAATGGTCGACCCAGCTGGCTAACTCGCTGCCCCGCTCGTCTGTTCCTCGGGCAACTTGCCAGTCGAGGTGGGCGGCGGCGGCGGCGGCGGCGGCGGCGGCGGCGGCGGGGGCGGCGGTCAGCTGGCTGGTCGCCACTCGGCCAACGCCGACGCTCCTACCTCCAAACAAACACCACGTACCGGTGCGCGCCGCAGCAGCACCACGCTTCCACCACCGAGCACCAGCGTCACCAGCGGCCAGGGTCACCAGCTGGTGACACGCACGAACCCCTCAGGGCCAGTTGATGGGCGACAGACACCCCGTACTAGATCGCGTAGCGCCCGGTGGTCGCCCGGTCAGCACTCAGCACGCCGATCTGCTCACATTGGCAGATGATCTGAATTCCTGCTGGTAATAAATTACCGTCAAGGTCGGGCCGCCACACCGGCAGCTGAGCCGACTGCCATCGGCCGTCAGCGGCCACGTGCTGGGCGGATCGACCCCCAGCGCGGGCCCGCAGGCTCCGTTCGGAGTGGAATAATACACAGTTGTCCTTCAGAGCGACGCTTGACGACCAGATGCGTCTGGCAGACTCTGGCAATATCGACAAGGGCGGGGTAATGACGATCCCATCGATCCCATCTGTCACCGACGAAAGTGTTCGGGCCAACCCGCGCTACCGCTGTGCCGCCGTGATAGCCGGCCGGCCGCCGTGCCACCGCCGCTCGTTGCAGCCGTCCTGCCGCCGCACCGCCGTCACCCCGTCCAGACTCAGGATGAGTTGTGAGGCATTGTGCAGGGCGGGGCCGCGAGCAGACGCGGCCGGCGGTCGGTACGCGTGCCGCCGACGCTGCCGAGACGCAGCAGCGCCGCGGCCGCCACCGAGACCGAGATATAAATTAAAGACACGTCGTTTTAAGGCACGTAGGCCGCCAAGCTGGCGCCTTCAGCCACCTCCCCGCTGCAGTGCAAGTTTGCACTCGTTTTGCAGACGTCTTAAGCATTGCGTATAAAATGTGGGTCACGTACGACCCCGGCAGAGTCTCACTTCGACCGTCGCGCTGTGCGCACGGACTGATCTGCTCCGCTCGACGCCTCGCCCGGCTGAGCGGGGACAGAGTACAGAAGCACGCGCGCAGACCGACTCTCCTGCGCGCAGCCGCGCCCAGCGGGGCAGTGTCAGTGCTTCAGATTGTACAGCGAAAGTGAATGGTGCTCCGTGTCTGCGTGTTTCATCTACCGGTTTTCTTCACAACTGCTTCCGCTTCTTGCTTCGCGTATACTTCAATAAATCCTCTACGGGAAATCTTCACGTCTATCTTCAACTGTAAATCGCCGAATATCAAAACCCAGGAGCTCACATAGCAGGCGGGCAGGCTACGAATGTCGCACAAACTCACCGAATGAAATACAGTCCACATCCAACCAGAAAAGAACTCCGAACGACAGTTTGTCGACGACATTTGCTGGTCCTCCGGGCCGGATCCTGAACTATGGCAAGTGGAGAAGCAAGCCCGTCTCTAGAGCGAATGGGGGAAAGTGACAAAGAAGAAACCGCTGACATGGAAGAAGTACCAGCTGAACCAGCCGCTGCAGGTCAAGGACAAGCTGCAGTGACTACAGCCCGAGAAGAACCACGAGAAGGCCAATGCTCCAACGGGGAGTGGCGGCACCTCAGACAGGTGAGAGGTCGTCATCGGGCGGCTCTCACAAGGATTTTCCGGCGCGCTGAAGCTCTCGTGACAGATAGAGCCTCACGCGTCCAGTTTGGAAATATCCGCAGAGAAATGGACAGCGCTTTCCAAGCGTTGATGGCCGTTCACGAATGTATCTCTGGATACACGCAGAGTGAGGAAGAAAAAGAAAATGAGGCTCAGTACTTAAGCGAAGTTCGTACGGAGAAAGAGAGAATCGAGGAGAAAATCGAGACTTTCATGACAAGCACCACAGACGAACTACAGCTGACCTCTACGAGACAGACTGACTTCAGCGAGGATGGAGGAGGGCAACCTGAAGACGGCATGGGACGCTCAGTGTCACGCATGAC